TTAAGAACTCTTTAAAAAAAATTGTCGCGTCAGGAGCAACCTGAGAAACTGCAAGTCGCTTCTGGTGTGAGAGAATTGGCCGTCTGAAAGGACGTTGCCCAGGGGACGCCTGGATGATTTTTTGATGTTTTTATCATCCTTGTTGGGAGGCTTCTCTCATGTCCCCGCATGAGGAGTTGGAGCTGATAGAGGGAGCTCATCTGCCTCTCCCCGGATTCGAACCTGCGACCTGTCAGTCTTGCCGGCACAGGGGTTTAACCCACTGCGCCACCGGGGGCTCCTCTTAAAAATATTAGGATCCACAGATGCCCCAGGAAAGTACATTATCAGCAAAGAATAATAAGTGTAAGAATGTGCCCCATCTATGAATTTATGGCTTCAACTCTATAAAGTACTTAAGTTTGTTTCTCAGGGTCATGTTGGATGTTCGCACATTAGACTGAACATGCATCCACATTCCATGCACAATCATTCAGATGGCAGACTGAATCTCTATATGCATTCATGACATATTTGTAACTACATGCAAAAATCTTATTTCATCTTAACAAACTATGGGTACAGTCATAGCAGAGTTAAATGAACAGACATGTGACAGCAGAATTTATTTCACATAACTATATAACATAATTAGCCTGCCCCCAGTCTCCAAGACACTGGCAAAATCCTTCTTGTGCCTGAAGAGCTGCCATAAGAAATGCTGAAGATGAATTTTGTAGCAGCATTTTTGAGAAATGCAAGGAAAGATGCAAGAGGGAAATTTGAGAGAGTCTAAGGACTGGAAAGACTACAGGCGGAATGAATTAAAAAGACCAATAGGACGGCGGAAGAGACAACTGAGGCCGAATCTCCTCCCACAGCATTCATTCAGCAACAAATTTTAGAACCTAGAGGCACAGACTGAGGCCTAAAACTGCATTCCAGCCCTGGGTTTCCGATTTGAATTAGTATTTTATCCACTTTCAAGTTTCATTATAATGTATAGCCTTTCACACTACATAATTTCACATCAGCTGCCACGGCAACATTCAGTGGAATCCTGTGGTTGGTAGATTTGGTGAATCACTATGTCCTTCATGGCAACCAGATGAATTTAAAAGATTTTTTTATAGGCAAGGAATATTCACAGATGGTTTGCCAGTTCCTTCCTCTGAAATATAGCCTACAGCACCTGGGATTCATTGTTAGTCTCTCATCCAAATACTAACCAGAGCTGGTTGTGCTTAGCTTTCAATATCAGATGGGATCTGGTGCCTTTTAGGCAAGCCAATAAACACCTCTCCCTAAACGGCAAGTTCCAGGATTCTATAGGATGGAAAGAATGGCACTTCAAATGGAATCGTAGCACAGTACTATAATGATATGGAGATGTAGTGTGTGAAAGTTCAGTAAAAAAGATTTAAAAGTCTATGCAAGTAAACATTTATAATAATCAGACAGCAAGTACATTGCTAGACAAATCATACTGAACACCCTCAGACTTTTGCCCTCTGTGCAGGAGAATAAATACTTTTTGAAAAAGTTTTTCCCGTTTTTCAATATTCTTTTACTTTTTTTTTTAGCCTAATCCTCATTTCTCCTGATTTTTAAGCCTGAGTAAGACAAAGTCGATGGAAAAGTTATGATACCATATGTTCTTCCAGGTGAAGTAATGTCCTTCCATGGGCAAAAAGATACTCAACAATGGTTCAGCAACACTTGCATGGACATAGTGCATGTGTTCATGCAAGCATTAGAATAGTAGACTAGAAATGTGGAGAGTTCCAGCTATAAATTCAAACTGGACCATGAAACCCACAGAGTGAACTTGGTCTCATCACTTTCTCTCCAGCTAATCCACCTACCCAAGGTTGTCATGATGATAAAAATAGCAAGAAAGCCTAGACATATTGTCCTAAGACATTGTAAGAAAGATGGAATACAATTTTTTTAAATATAAAGTAACTATTTGAGTTCAGATCAACAAACTCAACAGCATAGACACATTGAAGGCTGCATGTACTATAACTAAATATGTCTTGATTGTAACAGGTGAACACCACAACTAAAAAACTATTATAGAATACACCATTTTTCCAAACATTTCATGTTGGTGACACACCATTTAGATGTGTATCATTCTGCGACACAGTAATTCAATTTTACTAGCAAACCAAGGATGAAACAAACCAAGGCCTTATAAGAGATACGGATACAAACGTAAATTGTAATAATTAAATGTATGGCAATGTAACATAGCTCATGAAAACCTTTCATTTATATATATTTTAATATATGGTTTATTGCTTATTTTACATAGACTTTCTACATTTGCACAACACACTGCACTGTCATACTGAAATGCCACAACTCGGAGTTTGGAAAGCTCTGGACTAGATTTTTTTTAATCATTAAAAGTTTTTATTAAGTGAATTAGTGGCATACGGAATATGATAAAGAAAAACATCTAAAGCAGTGGTTCTCAACCTGTGGGTCCCCAGGTGTTTTGGCCTACAACTCCCAGAAATCCCAGCCAGTTTACCAGCTGTTAGGATTTCTGGGAGTTGAAGGCCAAAAACATCTGGGGACTCCAGGTTGAGAACCACTGATCTAAAGCTAATCAAATACACACAATACAGATATACCATTCCAGCTAACCTCCCTCCTCCACCAGTGAACCCATGACTTCCAGTATCACCCAGTATGAAACAAATATCTCAAAAACCTACCCTTATCCAATATTAATAATTTTTCCTTGTGATTACTTTGAAATTTATTTTTGTCTTCCTTTCTAGATATCCAAATCCAAGCCCCAATTTCTTAATAAAACCTAGCTTTCTGCATTTGAGGATGTGCTTGTGTTACAGAGCACTACACCTTGAGTTACCATATGTCTTGCTTTTCTAGGCCATGCCCTCTTCTTCAGAGTTAAAATTCCCTTCTACCAATTTTCTGGGTGTGTCCTTTTTGTGGAGTTAACATTTATATCCAAACTGATTTTTAAAATGTCTGGATTTTCTTAAAATGTCAGGACTGGACAAAGTGGGTGATCAGGGACATAGCAGAAAAATATCTGTTTATAGCACAAAGGCTCCTTCATGGCTTGATGGGTCAGGACCATACTTGGCGCCCATACCCTTTGAAATAATTGCTATACTTCAGAAACTTTGTTTTTGTGGCTGTCACAAACTAGGTTGAATTGGTTGAGATGTTCATTGAAAAACAATAGCAAAATATGCTGCAGGATGTCCTGTGAAAACGTTTTTGCTGTTTAATAAACTTTTCCCACATTTTTATGATAGAACCAATTAGGAAATGACATTTATAATCTAGGAACAAAAAATGTGTCACATAGTGCTATTGAAGGATTTGAACTAAAAAAAAATAAACAAAAAAAACCCTCCTCTTTAGAGCCCTAGAGAAGAGGAAAAGAAAAGGAATTGATTTGCTGTTGATAGGTGAAGTGGCCCCCTGTGATGTCACCAGGAAAGAAAAATGGCTTGGTTATTGGTGACATGTGGATGAGGGGAAGGGAGGGCAAGAGGGAGGAAGGAAATTGATGAAGAAAGGAAAGGAAGGAGGGAAGAAGGAGAGTGTAGGAGGAAAAGGAAGGACAGTAGAGCAAGGAAAGGAAAAGTGTGAGGGAAGGGAAGGTGGGAGAGAASGGAAGGGAGCAAGGAAAGGAAAGGTTGAGGGAAGGGAAGTTATGAGGGAAGGGAAGGTAGAGCAAGGAAAGGTGTGAGTGAAGGGAAGGTGTGAGGGAAGGGGTGAGAGAAGGGAAGGTACAGCAGGGAAAGGAAAGGTGTGAGAGAAGAGAAGAGGGGGAAGAAAAGGTGGAAGGGTAGGGAGAGTAAGGGAAGGGAAGGTTGAGGGAAGGGAAGGTGTGAGGGAAGAAGGTGAGAGGGAATAAAAGGTGGAAGGGTAGGGAGAGCAAGGGAAGGAAAGGTTGAGGGAAGGGAAGGTGTGAGGGAATGGAAGGTGAGAGGGAAGAAAAGGTGGAAGGGTAGGGAGAGCAAGGAAAGGAAAGGTTGAGGGAAGGGAAGGTGTGAGGGAATGGAWGGGAAGGTAGAGCAGGGAAAGGAAAGATTGAGAGAGGGGAAGGTGTGAATGAAGGGAAGGTGTGAGGGAAGGAAAGGTGTGAGGGAAGGGAAGGCAAGGAAAGGTTGAGGGACAGGAAGGTGTATGGGAAGGGAGGGCAAGGAAAGGGAAGGTGTGGGGGAAGGTGTGAGGGAAGGGAAGGTAGAGCAAGGAAAGGTGTGAGGGAAGAGAAGGTAGAGCAAGGAAAGGTGTGAGGGAAGGGAAAGTAGAGCAAGGAAAGGTGTGAGGGAAGAGAAGGTGTGAGGGAATAGAAGGGGAGGACAAGAAAAGAAAAGATTGAGGGAAGGGAAGGTGTGAGGGGAGGGAAGGTGTAAGGGAAGGGACAGCAAGGAAAGGTTGAGGGGAGGGAAAGGTGTGAAGGAAGGGAAGGTGTAAGGGAAGGGACGGCAAGGAAAGGTTGAGGGAAGGGAAGGTGTGAGGGAAGGGTAGGGAAGGGAAGAAAAGAAAGAAAGAAAAAGGGTGGCCCTTCCACCAAGCTCCTCCATCCTGAAAGGAAAACCCATCAGCGAGGAAGATGGCCACAAGGAAGGTCTGTCCAGTGAGGAGCTGCCCTTTGAAGTGACAGCTGTCAGAGTGATCCCTGGTGTGAGGGGGTCAGGCAGCGAGCAGCCACTCTGTTTTGTTTCTAAAGTATGGCAGCCCCAGCTCGACCCCGAGGGCTGCCCATGGGAGCTGAGCTGAAGAGTGAGTCCCTGGATGAGGCGCGAGGGCGCCCACCTCCCCTCCTCGTCCCTCAGAAGAGTTTTCCCGGTAACCACGAAGGCTGAGGAGCCATGACTATCAGTGCCTTCCGGGCTGGCTTGGCTGTGGGGACTAAGCGCCTTTTCTGTGGTAAGGGAGCCCTGTTCCGGCCTGGAGAGCGGGCCAGGCCCGGAGAGGGGCGCCCCCTCCCCTCCCCGCCCCCCTCTTCCCGCGGGGCTTACCTCCAGGGAGAGGGAGAGCAGCAGCAGCGCGACCCCCCGCTGGAAGTGGCTCATGTCTCCCTCCTCCCTTTCCTCCCGCGGCTTCTCAGAGGCGCCGAGGGGCGGAGGGCGCCCCCAACAGCATCCCGCCGGGAGGCTCCAGCTCCGGGGGCGGGGCCAGGCGGGGCGCGGCGCGAAGAAGGGGGCGGGGCCGCCGAGAGCCCGGGCAACAAAGGGCCTCCTCTCTTTGGGACGGAGAAGGAAGCGAGGGAGGGAGGGGACGCGGGGCTCTCTGCGCACGCGCGCCCTTCCTGCCGGCACGCGACGTTTATGGGGGAGAGTGGGTGGGGCTTCAGGGGGGTCTCTTGGCTGTCCTGGCCCCGCCCACTCTGCCCCTCCCGCCTCAGCAAGGGAAGCGCCAAAAGAGGGCGCGCGCGCTGTGGGATTGCCCCGAAGGTTGTGAAAGGCGCGCGCACTGAGCCTTAGCAAAGCAGCGCCTCTCAAAGTGGGCGATATTGTTGGATACACTGAGGGGCGTTGACTCTTATAGCTATCTATCTATCTATCTATCTATCTATCTATCTATCTATCTATCTATCTATCTATCTATCTATCTATCTATCTATCATCATCTATCATTCTGGTATACTAATAATAATAAATGTAATGTTCGTTTGTGGGATTAACAGAACTCAAAAACCACTGGACGAATTGACACCAAATTTGGACACAAGACACCTAACAACCCAATGTATGTCCTTCACTAAAAAATTGATTTTGTCATTTGGGAGTTGTAGTTGCTGGGATTTATAGTTCACCTAAAATCAAAGAACATCCTGAACCCCACCAATGATGGAATTGAACCAAACTTGGCACACAGTTCTCCCATGACCATCAGAAAATACTGGAAAGGTTTGGTGGGCAGTGTCCTTTGGTTTTGGAGTTGTAGTTCACCCAGATCCAGAGATCACTGTGGACTCAAACAATGATGGATCTGGACCAAACTTGGCACAAACATTCCATATGCCCAAATATGAACACACATGGAGTTTGGGGGAAATAGACCTTGACATTTGGGAGTTGTAGTTACTGGGATTTATAGTTCACCTACAATCAAAGAGCATTCTGAACCCCACAAACGACAGAATTGGGGCAAACTTCCCACACAGAACCCCCATGACCAACAGAAAATACTTAAGGCCACCCAGTCCAACTCCCTTCACCAGGGCAAGAAAATGTAATCAAAGCCCTCCTGACAAAGAGCCATCCAGCCATAGATATAGATAGAGATAAATATGATTCACACACACAGAGAGAGATATAGTATCACAGATTTGAAAGGGACCTCTAAAGGACAGTTGTGTTGCATATTCCAGAGTAGGCAAACTAGACAATCTCCACATCAACACTGACAAAGAAACAACATGCAATACTGTTTACCCACAAGCATAAAGAAATTACATATATTAGAAATCAACACTTTCTCATTACTTTATTTTCCAGGTCACCAGACTAGTCCACAGCAACTAGTGGCAGGGGACGGCTAGTAAAAATATATAAGGGGGCTGCGGAAACAGAAAAGAAGAAAATCGTGTCCAGGTATGGTTCACTTATTGTGTAACTAGGGAATTAACTTTGCCCTTGGTCCTTTTGAAAATAAACATGCCCAAATGCAGGTTGCAACCAAGCAGTGGCCAAGCCTTAAGTGTTGACAGGCCAGCGTGTCATGCATTGTCAGGAGGCCCAGCGTGCACCGGCAGGAATGAATGAAGCTTTATTTATATCCCGCCCCGTCACCCAAAGGGACTCGGAGCATCTGACAACAAAACAATAACATAAATAATAATAAAACACATGACAGGGCAAACAGTTTAAATCACCAGAAATAACACGAGTCATAATAAATATGGTGGAATGTCAACATTGACACCAAAATACAACACCGCTTGAGCTCTGCGAGTGCTGCTTTTTTCCAAATGAAGCAGAGAGTGTTTGAGGACCGGGACATCCGTAGGGATACCAAGGTGCTTGTTTATAAAGCTATTTATTTATCGTGTCAGGAGCAACCAGACATTTGTATTACATTTTTAACAAAACAAACAAACAGACAGACAAAACACAAAGTTTGCAAGCTTGGTAGTTGATTAAATGTCCTTTGACCAGTATCTGGCCACTTGGAGTGCCTCTGGTGTTGCTGCAAGGAGGTCCTCCATTGTGCATGTGGCAGGGCTCAGGTTGGGAACCTCTGATATAATCTAATCTGGAAAAGGAATTGCTGCTCTTTAGTTTTCTAGATTTAACTTTGTTTAGGAGAGACATTAAGAAGCCCTGCAACTTAAATAAAGTATGTTTTGTATCACAATAAGTCTAAATATTTAAAAAATGTTGTTCAGAGATGCAGGTCATTACTGTCTACAAAAGGTTAAATCAATTTTAACCAGATATTTTCGAAGATTTGTGTTTGTTTTGCAATTGATATAAAAAGATTTCAGATTAGGTACTTGAGGAGTGATACAGTCAGTCACAAAGGGTCTCTTTCCCAGTATCCTGGGGAAGACTCAAACTGCGGAATGTTGCCTGCAGAAAGGGAAGGCAAGGATGGAGTGGGAGGCTAATGTATCTTCTCTGAACCTATTTTTCAACTGTACTATTGATTTCTTTTACATAAATTATTTACTCTGAAGCCAAAAAGAACTGGCATGCCTTAGTATTGGTTTCCAGAAATGTTTGCTCGGAAGTAAGTGCTATTGAGTTTAATGGGACATCCTATCCCAATCTCTCTTAATATACAGAGACCAGTTGAAAACATTATTTCTGAATAAATTCAGATAGCATGGCTGATACAATGGTGAAACCAAGCAATTTCCTTCACCGAGGCGCAGCTGATTAAAACACTACTGTGTTGTTGAAATTGGGGGTGGGGGTGGGATACCCAACATTACATACTTAGTCACTTAGATGATCTGTTCCTCAACTTTCACAATCAGCCAGGCTTTGAAGCTGTAAAGCTATTAAATGCTATTTTAAAATTTTCTGCTTACTCTTTTTTTTTACTTTTTATTTGATACTCCCAACAATCAACAAAATTTTGCCATACAGGACTTATTTCAATATACATTATTCCAAAAGTAAATATTCCTTAAATGACATTTTATACATTCCTTAGTTATGTATCACCCATACATAATGAAGGAATTCCCCCCACCCCCCTGGAACTGCAATTCTAAATCATGTCATTGCATCAATTTAACCTTGTGGAAAGCCTGGTTCAAAATGCTATATCTGTCATTTCCATCTATTTTGTCAATTAGCACAGACCATTTCCTAAACCGGTCTTGTTCTATTTGACTATTGATATACTTGTTTTTCCTTTGATTGATAAAATCATTAATTATATATTCTGAAAGATAGGCCCACCAGGTTTCCAAATCCCATTTTGTATCATCTCTCCATCCCCGGGCTATCGTGGCCTGCACTGCGGCTGTCATATATTTTAGGATTTCTGTCCAATTATTGTTATCTTCCTTTACCTTTATGGTGAGGGACATGAATCTGGCTTTATCCCACATTAATTTTTTCCCTATTAAATAAGGACTGTAATGGAAGACATAATAGGCTATTAAATGCTAATCAAGGTGGCCAGTTGCAACATTCACATTTGCCTCAAGCAGGCAAGAGTTCTTTCTCCCACCTTGGACATTTCACAGATATATAAACCCCACTTGCCTAGTTTCCAACAGGCCTCACAACCTCTAAGGATGCCTGTCAAATATGTGGGCAAAACATCAGAAGAGAATGCTTCTGGAACATAGCCATACACTACCTTTGGGCTAGCTTTGTACCAAAGCTAGCCATCCAGCCTCTGTTTAAAAGCCTCCAAAGAAGGAGCCTCCACCACACTCTGGAACAGAGAGTTCCACTGCTAAATAGCTCTCACAGTTAGGAATTTGTTCCTAATGTTCAGGTGTAATCTCCTTTCCTGTAGATTGAAGCCATTGTTCTGCATCCTAGTCTTCAGAGAAAACAAGCTTACTCTCCCTATGTCTTCCCTCACATATTTATGGTCTTTGCTGATCATTTTACAGTCACTGGATGGCTCAAAGCAGAGTTGCAGCAGAGATTGCATGCCACCACTGGTAAAAAGTCAGGGCTGACACTAGACATTTTGCTGCCTGAGATGAAGAACACACTGAGACCCCCATCCGCTCACAGTTCTTGTACAAAAGCAGATGGGACTGCCAGCCGAGTCTAGTGGTGGGCCAACATTTTTCTCCACATTAGAGCAGCAGCAGGCTCCCTTGGCATCAGTTGTGGGGGGAGAGGGTACTGGGGAGCACAGAATTATCTTCAGTATCTTGCTGAGGCCTTCTGTATCCTGCTGCCTCTTGAGAATACTGGCCCTCTTGAGAATTCAGCTCCTCTGTCTTTGGGGCTCTGACACTTTCCATTCACTTCAGTTGCAGTGTGATGCAATCACTCGTAGAAAAATTGAGTGTGACAGCATGAAATAATTTTGTAATAATTGCTTTAAATAGATCTCCTACCTCCACAATTTTGCAATGAATGATGGTAGCATGTTGCAATCGAAGCTAATAGAAAGACTGTTATCAACAGTTTAACCATAAGATGTTAATACTGTATAGACCTGTGGAGAAATTTTTCACAATGTATTAAAACAAGGAAAAATATTCTTATGCTTATAAGCACTCAAATAATAGTATATTGGTGTATTCATTCATTTTCATTTATTTATTATTAAATGTCTTGCTTTCTATTACATCAAATTATCAGTGCATCTGATTGGTAGCATAGATAGTACGACACAGGCCGCACACCCAGTCCTGAGTGTTATGAATAGGGAGAAAAACTACCATTACTGTAATGATGATGATAACAATAATAATAACTTTATTTATACCCTGCCACCATCTCCCCAAGGGACTCAGAGGTCAAGCCCAACAACACATCAGTAAAAACAACAAAGCAAATAAGCAAATAAAACAATGCAATTAATATAACTTACATATAGACAATAACACGCAGCGATTTCAAAACCTATGGCCGGGCCAGATGTAATAATTAAAATTTAAAAAATAAACGCTGGGCATGAACAGAGGTAGGATGTATCTTGTAGGAGGGTTTAAAAGAAATGTAGGGAGAGCAACCCAACGGGTAGTTAAAGGGCTTCTGAGGACATTTTGCAGGGAATTGTTTCCTTTATTCAGGGAAGGCACACTGGAGCAGCCACGTTTTCAGGCTCCTCCTAAAG